GTTTAATCTACTCAATTATCTAGTTGTAATTTTAGATTATTTTCTAACTTTATTGCCATAGTTCTTTGAAAAAGAGCGAAAAAAGGAGACCATTAGCTGGACAAGCTGTATAGGCAATCGATCATGCTGAGCCTCCTGGCAGCATTTGTTTTTAGAAAAAGTTCTAAAAATCTACCGAAAAGCGAGTCTTACGATTACTTGCGTTTTCAGGCTGTTTTCACTAATATTAAAAAATTCACTAATCACTCAATAAACATCAGAACGAGTTCAAAATTTCGAGATATGGTTAATGTCCTCCGTTAAACGGGATTGTACGATCGAAAAATCAGAAAAAGCATATTTTCATTATTAGCTTTTCCAGAAACCCTTTTGGGAAACCTCAGGGTTTTGTAACATTTCTTTTAGATCTCCTATAAACGGTATATAGAATAGCTCAAATACTCGACCGTCTGAAAGTCTGAACTCGTTCTGAAATTTTTTGAGTGACTAATGAATTTTTTAATATTAGATGAAAACAGCCTGCAAACAATAATTTTCGAAAAACTGGCTTTTCGGCAGATGTTTAAACTTTTTTCTAGAAACAAGTATTGCCATGAGCCTCAACATGGTCGATTACCCATATTCCATTAGTCTTCAAGGCTACCAATAGTCGCCGGGCGCCAGTCCTGGGATTCGTGGGAAATCCGATACAATGAAAATGAATGCAGATCAAGCAGTTCATAATATTTTTTCAGGTAAATACCAACGATGTGTAGAATCTTAGTCAGTGTGTACTTTTGGAATTTTACAGCTTTATTGAAGCTGATATCTTCAGAAGAGAACTGTATCTTCCGCGTGGTCTAGTGGTTAGGATTTGACGCTCTCACCGTCAAGGCCCGGGTTCGATCCCCGGCACGGGAACATTTTTTTTCCTTATTATTCCTGTTTTTTGCAGTAGTTATTATCACAGATCGTAACCCTTGGGCAATCTCTGTCAAGAATCTTGACTCTTGCTAAATTTTGTCAAAACCCTTTTTCTGACTGCTTTACATTATAAAAATCTGTGCAGAGCATCAAGTCCGAAGAATTCTCACGACACCGACAGTTATGATCAGATTATTCTGTCAAGAATAATCTGTCAAAGTTATCTAATGGCCAAGATACAAAAAGTCTCAGCATACACAGATCTGCGAAGAGTCTTGAAGAAGACTTTGGAAAGAATCTTCAAGGGGCTTAGAATCGATCTTATGATTACCACGCCACTGACTATTGTGATTGCATAAATTGACGATTAGCGTCATTTTTTACCCACATTCTTGTAACTCTTAGGAAAAAGCTATTAAACTTTACATGCATAGTACAGTCAGTACTTTGGCGTCAAATTCAGGATGAAAATTTGATTTTTTTTCAGTTTTGGTGGTTTTTGCTCTTTTGCATTTTTTGTAAGCAAATCTTCGTCCCTCATAAATTTTTATTCTCAATTCGTCCCTTAAAACTTTTTCGCCTCTCATATGTAGCATAGGCTAAATTATGCGAGCTTTTAGATCTGTTGAATAAACTTTGTAAAAACAGAACAACACTACTATCGAAATTTTTTATTGATTACTGTTTATTAACTAAACACTACCGCTTTGTTCTATCACTGCTTTACGAACAATGGCCACTGTAGTTATGACTGTGTTTATTTTTCCATGTAATATTTGAATCTGCTTTAGGTATCATTCCTGTTGCACAATCGATTGATAAACTATCAAGTGAATTAAATATGTATAAAGCGAATGCAAAACAACAAGTTAAACAAGATGTTTCATCGTTTTGGAATGACAATGAAGCTAAAATACCAATATTAGGTCGAATTACTCGTTTGTTACTGTCTGTTTCAGGCACAAGTGTGCCCAGTGAGAGCGCGTTTAGTATATCGGGACGATTAATGCAAAATCGTGTCAGTCTCAAAGCTGATTAGGGTCCGGCGGGATGAAGTTTTTTCGTCCCGATCCCGGTCCCGTTCCAACCGGACTAAACCCGTCCCGATCCCGATCCCGCTCCAACTGGACGAAGCCCGTCCCGATCCCGAACCCTTTTCTTAACGGGAAAACCCATCCCGGTCCCGTTTAAACCCGATTTTTGCGAATCTGCCAGAGATATTTTTCAAACACATGTCAAATGAGATACCACTCGATAGCATTGCATCCTATTATGATTTTTCGACCGAAATGTGACGTTCAAATTTACATTCTAATATTTTTGT